ACATAGAGAAAAAAATCTCAGACATTCCTCATAGCAATACTTACCGACATGTCCCCTTGAGCAAAGGACATAAAGGAAAGAATAAACAAATGGATCTCATAAAAATAAAAACCTTCTGCACAGCTAAAGAAAACATCAGCAAAAATGAAAAGGAAACCAACTGTATGGGAAAACATATTCGCCAATGATACCTCAGACACGGGTTTGATCTCCAAAATACAGAAAGAAATCTTGCAACTCCAGTCCAGGAAGATAAACAACCCAATTAAAAAATGGGCAAAATACTTAAACAGACACTTCTCCAAGGAGGACATACAGAGGGACCAGAGACATATGAAAAGATGCTCTGTATCACTAGCCATAAGATAGATGCAAATTAAAACCACAGTGCAATACCACTCCAAATTGGTCAGAATGGCCATCATAACCAAATCAACTAACAACACTGCTGGTGAGGTTGTGCAGAAAAGGGAACCCTAGTACATTGTTGATGCAAATGCAGACTGGTGCAGCCACTGTGGAAAACAGTATGGAATTTCCTCAGGAAACTAAAAATGGAACTGGCTTTTGACCTGGCAATTCCATTGCTGGGACTATACCCTAAGAATCCTGAAACACCAATTCAAAAGAACCTATGCACCCCAATGTTCATAGCAGCACAATTTACAATAGCTAAGTGCTGGAAGTAACCTAAGGGCTGGTCAGTAAATGAGTGGATCAAAATATGTGGTACATTTACATGATGGAATACTACGCAGCAGAAAGAAAAATGGAGCTTCTACCATTTGCAACAGCATGGATGAAACTGGCATTCTGCTAAGTGAAATAAACCAAATGGTAAAAGACAAATACAGTATGATCTGACCTATAAGTGAATCAACAAAACAAACAAGTGAACAAAATATAATCAGAGACACTGAAATAAGGAACAAACTGATAGTAAAACCGAGGGGAGAGGGAGGGGGATTACAGGAGAAAGAAGGGAAAGGGTCATCCAGTAACAAAAGGACCCATGGACAAAGTCAAATTTGGATAGGATTGAGAGTAGGATGTAGGGGTGGGAGGGGTGGGGGAGTATGGGGAGGATAGTTGAGAGAACAGTGCTTGAACAAAATAGAAAAATAAAAAAATTCACTGAAGCCCAAAACACAAAAAATAAACATTTTACATCATCATTGTTAAATGTATTTTCTGTTAGATAAAATTAACAGTGATTCCCACAGAATAAACTAGCATAAAAATGAAAAAGAATAAAAAGTAAAAAACCATAAAAAAATAAATTAAACAGAAAAAAAAGAAATATAATTGGTAGGTACAAAATAGATGAGGATGTTAAGAATAGCATAGGAAATGAAAAGCTAAAGAACTTAAATGCATGCCCCGCAGACATACACTAAGGAGGGTATGCTGGAGGGAAGGGGGGTACCTGGTGGAGGGGAGTAGAAGAAAAATTTGGGACAAGTGTAATAACATAATTAATATAATATACTTAAAGAAAAGATTATAAAAAGGTCTTCAGATAAAAAATTTTGAGAACCACCACTGCAGGATAAGTAACTACGGTGCTCTTATTATTGCAGCATAAAAAACAGTAACATGCACAATGAGAATAGGCAGAACCCCAATGCTGGTGTTTTAAAAGCTATTAACCACGGAAAGGATCATTGGAAAAATGGTGATTTTAGGACTATAGCAGGGAATTACAAGGACATCCTAGGAAATCTTTTTATGATAAAAAAGCACATAAGTGCCCAAAGGTTGATCAAGACATGTTAAAAAACAGTAAACAACCACCTGGAAATACTTTAAAGAGATTTCCAGTTTTAAATTTGGGAAGATTTAAAATAAAAAAGAATTTTTGTTTGTGTGAAAATGCACATTATGTATATATAATACATTTTACTTTTAAACTCTATACATGTATTATAAATAGAAATCTAAAAAACCAATTTTATTCAACAGAGGAAAAATTCATTTATACCATTAGTAGTGATTATTACAGCAACTACTCCTTTAATCTGAAAAACTGGTAGTTAAATGGAAAAATTTAAGATTTTAACCTGCCTATTTAGGAAGAACTATAGTTCATCCCAAATTGTTAAGGAAAAGCTCTTCCTTGCTAAAGAATTCCAGCAACTAAATGTAAAAGGAATTAACATAATTTGAAAATTGCTATTTTCCAAAATCCAATTAAATAGTTGATTCAAGTAAAAATCATCAATGAATGTTAAAATTGTGAATGAAAGACAGTTTGGTAAACTGGATATTCTCACAGGACCAAAGGATCATCCCACAGATTACTATATTTTGCTATGTATAATGCGTGCACTTTTTTGTCCAAATATATTAGAGAAAAGTAAGGATGCACATTATATGGGTAGTACTAATTCTATATCTACATAAAAATTTTAACACTTTTATTTATGCTTATCCATTAGGACTGTAATTCCAGAAAGCAATAACAATATCCATATGCAAAATAATACCCTGGAATACAATAATTGGTTTTGTTTCTACATAAAAATTACTTAAAAAATTAAAACAAAATTTTTCCCTTAAAGTTTGGGCCAAAAACATGGATGTACCATATACATGGGAGTGCATTAAACATGGCAAAATATAGTACTTGCAAAACTGCAAATGGGATAATAAATCCTTTTAATGGTGTAATCTGGTGGTTATCATCTTAACAAAGTAATCAAGTCATTTGAAATGATGTGGCCCTGGTATGATGCAATGCATGTACACAGAACTTCTATGAGGCATTCTTGCCAAAAACACATAACCTAATCCTGATTAAGTTTTTGATCCAAATAAGGATTAGAACAAAAAGTTAAATGATATTACAAGGAAACAAACAAATCCAGAATGTGGGACAGTCTACAAAACAACTGGCTTGGTCATTTAAAAGTGCTACTGTCATAAAAATTAAACATGAAAAAGTAAGAAGACTATTGAGATTAGATTATATCAGGGATAATGGCTCTGTGGTTATACCATTTGAAATGTCATGTCTAAAAATAACACTGAAAATGTTTTAGCAAACATACATATATTATCCCCATAAATCTATTACTATTTATGTCCACATATTATATGTGATCAGATGAAACAAATATAGCAAAATAGTAACACTGTTGAATATAGTGGCTATATGGGTATTCTCTCAACTTTTTTGTGTGTAAAATGTTCATAATAAAATATTTTAAGGAAAACAATCATTCACTTGCAAATTATGAAGATCATGCTGAGAAAAACATCATTTAAAAAAAAAGGAAGATGGGATGATCAAATAAATACTGTATACTAACTTAAGATAAATCCCCAAAAGAATTATAGTAATACTTTATGCAATAACATCATCGTTAAAATTACATACATGTTCTTCCATTTACTTCCCACAGGACAATGGTTTTAGAAGGACAAAGAGTTGCCTATATGCATGCTATCTAACACCATTCTTTCAATACCTAGAGAGTAAAGTCACAACTTACACAGGTTTGAAAGACAATTTATCAAGTAATAATTCAGTATGGTAAAAACTATCCTAGATATTATTTATACTTCTCATAAAGAATAGTAATTATGGTTTTAGTTTCTAACTCCATTCAGAATTCTTGTGCAGACTAAAGTTTGATACCCATTAAAGAACAGAAATAATAGCTTTCTGGACATTCAAAACAGTTTGTTTTTAAGGTAACTTTCACATCTCTATCATTAAATTAGGCATGAGTTAGAAAATTCCAAAGTGTTCCTGCCTCTTGTGGGATTTATCCCATGTGTTTCAGAACTAACCCTCCACAATTTAATACATTTCTTGTTTACTGTAACAGTTCTTCCTTCCCAGACCAGGAGCCAAGTGAACAGTTACATATGTATTATTTATTTTCAAGTGATTCATGTTAAGAACTTCAAGTTTTAGCCTAAATGAGATAGGAAGCTACAGTGAGTTTTAAGTAGGATTTGACTTCTCTATTATAAGAGTGATTCTGGCTGCTTATGTGGCAACTAGCCTGGAAGAAAGGGAATGTCTCCCCAAAACGGAGATGGATTAGAAGCTATGACAGTGGCTTGGATAAAGGGGTAGAAATGAGAAGAAATGATCAGATTCTTGTTATACTTTGAAGGCAGGACCTATAGGACTTACTGATTGGTTGGGTGTGAAGTATGAAGAAACAAGGGTTCTGATGACATCAAGGCTTTGATGTGATCAGGGGACAGAATGGCAATGAGAAAGGAAAGACAACAGAAAGAGCAGGTCTGGGGCAGGAATGGAATCATGAGTTCAGCACTGGTCATACAGAGTTGCACATTAGCAATACCAGTAGAAAAGTGTCAAACTGGCAAATGAATAAATAAGCTTGGAGTTTCAGAACAAGTTAAAGGCTGTAGATACTATCTTGGTAGTCACTGAAGTATAGGCAGAGAAGAGATCCAAGGATAGAGTCCTGGGGTACACCTATGTTTAGAGTAAGGAAAGAATAGGGAAGAATCAACAAAGACGACTGAGAAGTGACTATGTAAGAAGAGAACTAAGAGAGTGGTGGTCTCACAAGTGACTCATCAACCATGTTGAATATGGCTGAAATATGGAGTTGAATGAGGATACAAATGCCCACTGGATTTGCCAACAGAGAGATCACCATGCGACTTAGAAGAGAGTGATTTTGGTGGCATGGTGAGTTCCAAAAGCTTGATCGAATTCCAGAACCTAAGCTTCAAATTTTTAGACTAAGTTCTTAATACATTCTTATAGCTTTTTAATTTAGAAAGGCATTATTTTATAATAACTGCACATTTCCTAATTACAAAGAACCTCTGTATCATACCAGATATTATGGAGAAGCTTATATACATAAAGTAAGACTTAAGCTTAACAAATCAAACTATAAAGTCTTGCCCAATTATCTATATACTTAAAAGAGCTGAAAAAATAACTTTAAGAATATTATGGATAGTACTTATAGAGGGGGAAAATATGGATAAAAAGCATATTTTACCATCTGGAGTGCTTTTTGAAGCCTTTAAGGATTTTTCTTGATTTTCTATTATTCTGTCAAATTCATTTAACAAGTTTCTTTTGATTGGGGGTTCTCCTAAAAAGAAATTTCCATACAGACTTTTAAAGCAAACAATAAACAAGCCTATAGTCCCTTTTTTAAAACTACAATATGTTCAGCATATAATAATAGTTTAAATAGCAACCATTCTTTTTTGAAGGAGAATATTCATTTTTCAGTATCAATTTAATTTTTAACCATTTAAAATGCCTGTATTTAATTGGGTCTAGGGATAAACAGACATTACCGGATACCACCGATAAGCTACTTTTTAATAAACTCACACTGAATGTAACCCTAGGTTTGCCAGAAATAAGGTAAAACAAAATTTCTTCAAATAAACTATTTTTTTTTCATGAAACTCAAGATGGAATTTATTGTATATGTCATTGAATTATAGTCAGTGAGTAGGAGAAAAGATTTTTTAAATTACCAAAAGTATAGTCAAATTTTAATAGAAGTACTACTTCTTATTTAAAAATTCTACAAAGGATGAGAGTAAAATTAAACCATGGTCCTAGTTAGCATTTCCATGTCATACCGATATGTGATAACAGATGCTTTGTTTTTTGATGCTTTATTAAAAGGAGTGAATTTGTAGTATTTAATAAGTAAAAATGTCCATGCAAGGCTTTACTAAGTGTTAGATTATAACATGATTTAATTGTTTAACAAGGGCCTGTACTAGTCAAGTAACCAGAAGCTGATTTAGCTCTATAAACTTACATGTAAATGTATGATAGAGGTGAGGGATATTAAACAATGATGCTGTTGAGAACATTAATTAAAAGATGTTTTTCTTCTAAGCAGAAGGTCAATTCACTTCATTATATACAAGAACTAAATGAAATGGGTTCCTATAAATAAAGCCATTATTTTCCATAAAAGAATTACGAATATCTTTAAGCATCTGCAGTTCAGCATTCTGCACTAGACAAGAGCAATAGTTTAAGGTAAGCATCCTAAACTTACCACTCTGCCCATAACATAAACTTGGTATAGAAGGAGGCCTGGATAACACCTGATTAGGCAAAATCTATATCCCCCAGGATAAATTAGGGTCAGAAAGCACCAAGGGGAAGAATGAACTGACTGGCTTCAGTGTTGTTCTCTGTATTATGAAGGGACTGGGCAAGTGATAACTATTCTGAGTCTACAGTTTTTTTAAAAGGAGCTAGTTATTGAAAATCAGCCACTTAAACACTAGGAAGTTAGTTCTGGGATTTACTTTAATTGTAAGTGATCAAGAGATTCAATCATTTATTATTACTCCTAATCAGAGATACTAACAGAAAAAAATCCAATCTAATTGTCCTAGTAGTTAAATGAAGTTGCTAGATATAATTTAAAGAGAAGTTAAAATATAGTCCAAATGGCACTAAGACCAGAATACTGTCTACTAAGGATAACTGATTTTAGAACACTCTCTAGATTTAAAAAAAGCAAGCCAACACCTATAACTAGAAACCAATCTTTCCCTTCTACCCCTCACTGTGCAACCTGCTTCAGTGTTGGCAGCTACAGGCAGAGTCCAGGCAATGGTTCAAGGCCACAGCTTGCTCTGGCATGGGCACTATGAGAGACCCAGGAGGACGGACCTCCAAACAAATCTTTTAAGTTAATAATAGCCAAAGTCTGAATTTCTGCTATCTATATTTACATACATAAAAACAGTTGACAAGTTGTATTATATAAGCTGCTATATAAGAGTTTCAAGAATCATTAAAACTTTTGACATTAATTTCTCAATTATAACTATATTAACCTCTAAAAACACATTGAGAATCTCAAATCATGCCTTCTTGATACATAGACTCAGAGATATCAAGAGTGAAGTCACATTCCCCCAAATTATACATGAAAATCTAGAAAAACATGATTAGTATATAATACCCTAATTGCTATAAGTTAACATGCCAGAATCACTGAGGACTTAATTTTAAAATTGACTGGCAAACCTAAAGGAAAAAAAGCGCCACTTACCAATCAAGGCAAAGGTGCCTCCTTTTCTTTTTCCGGTTCTTGAATTTAACAAAGCCATTTCCTTGTTTGGGCAGGTGAGAAGTAAGCGTTTGGGATGACTTAGCAGTTCAGAATCTGTCAGCTCCCCATCTTCCATAAAAGCTTTGGCAATTTCCACTGCTTCTGTTTCAAAACAGTTTTCTGAATTTTTGGAATAGGTAGAATAACTTTCTCCATTTGTTGTAATGGGAAGATTAGAGAAAGTTTCAGGTTTCCCAATTTCCATTTTTATATTTTTAGATAAAGCTTGCTCTTTTCCCAATAGATGACTACTGTTCTCAACAAGCAATGCTTTGCTCTCTAAAACCAAGGGTTCTTCGTCCTGCTTAAAGTGAGAGACACACAGAGAAGCTTCAAAAGGGTGAGTATTTTCTGAAGAACTACTTCCAATGTTACAGTTATTTGATAATTTACTGCAGTCTTTTTCCACTTTGCAGTTTGCAAGTTGTTCTGGGGTTTTCTTATCAATATAGGAGAGAGGAAGTAGTTTTGACACATCTTGTCCAGATGTAGGTGGCTGCCAAAGACCACATTCAGTTCTGAGTGAATCAAAGTCCTCTAACATTCCCTTAACTTTGTTTAAGGCACTTTCAGAAACTGGAACATATTTTCCACTTGCTGTACTAAATCCAGAGAAAGCAGATGATAGTAAATTTGAGGGGGTATGTATCACAGTCTCTTCTCTTGTGACCTTGTCTGAATGCTCTTCATTTGGTTCAAATGATACTTTGGGAAAAGGCTGCACGGCACTCTCTTCTGGCTTAGATAAGACTTGTCTGGTCTTCCATAAAGCAGCATCTGAAATTTGTACACATTTCCCACTTGCTGTGCTAAAAATCCCACAAGCATTAGAGGAGACTGCATTAAATTTACATGTATCAGAAGGTTTCAAATCAATCTGACAAGGTAACATTTCAGAAATTGTCTCTGATCCAGACATACCTTGGCTGTATTTCAGAATTTGTTCACTCCTAGTGTCAGCGAAAATCTTGCATGAATGCTTGCTATGCTCTTCACTATCTGGAGAGTTAGGAAAAATGAAATCCTCCAAATCACCCAACTCACAATCACCTGCCACAGTTTTTGTGTGGTCAGTGCCTGATTCACACTCAGTGTTTTTCATAATGACCTTAGTGCAGCTGTCTGCAAATCTCTCTCTGATTTTTGTTCCATGTGAAACAAAGACCATTTGACCACTTTCTGTACTGAATGCAGGAGGCCCCTTCTCAAAATTATTTGAATCAGATGTAGGCACAGCTGTGTTTTTATTTTTGTATGGTGAAGAGTTAGTCACAAATTTCTGAACACAAATATCTTCACTTACAGTTTGTAGATGTGTGTTTGCTTCTCTTATGGTAGATATTACTTCAGAAAAACTAGTGTTTTTTCTGTCTTTGAAATTCTTTACTACTGGCTCAATACCAGAATTATCTGTTTTATTTTTTGAGAGAGATTTTGATTTATTATACACCTCAACGGAATGACAAAAATCAGAGTGGTCCGAATAGCTGTTAGATATGCTACTGTTACTTAAATAAGTCGAATCTTGTTTTTCAGAGAGATGATTTTTGTCATTTTCAGTTATGATACTGTTTGAGTGATTTTCACGTGAAGGATTTTCTACATAATCCTCAGGATAGTCTTTGAAACATATAACCTTAGCACTATTTATTTTTTCTGGTTGATCAACCAATTTCCCTTCTCTAAGCATTTTTTTTGCTTCAAGTAGTGAAGCTGGACTCACAGAAAGTTTTCTACCATGTCCTGGGTAAAATGGTACACTCAGATTTTCAATGGCTGAGCAAGTGGATTGATCTGTGTAGCAAGTTGTAGGAGTTTTTGCTATTTCTTTTTCTATGTTTCCAATTTTCACAGTGATACTATTTGATAATTTGAAATTTTCAGTTTGTTTGTGTAAATTATCACTTAAGAGCCTGGGTAGCATGGCAAACTCATTAGAAACAAGTTTTTTCTCCTTTAGAGAATTCTGCATTTCTTCATACTTTGGGGCAGTTGTTTCAAAGGTCTCACATGCTAATTCAAGCCCTTCTTTACAATCCTCTCTGTCCTTTAGTATTTTTGCCCCTTGGTGGCTAAAATTAATGGTTTCACTATTTTGATCTTGCTTTTTTTCATCAAAAAGACTTCTTACTTTGTCCAGAGATTCCTTTGTAATTTTTATCTTTTTCCCACTAGCTGTATGAAAACCCAACATAGTAGGTGCTTTGATCTTTTTGGTTTCACATTCTAGCCTTGATTGGAGAGTCAGTAATTGATTTTCAATACCAACTGAATCATTTTCTTTCAATGTTTTGTCTTTAACCATGTCTGTTTCCTCATAACTTGAAATATCCATTTTGTTGACATTTATTCCAGAAAGTAATTCAGAATTCAAGGCATCTGAAAAGTTATTCAATCCTTCTTCTGCACATTTTTGATCAAAGAAATTTACAGCTTTATTTAATGAATCTTTGGACAATCTGATATTCTTCCCACTTGCAGTCTGAAAGGATGTATCAAAAAAGTCAAAATCTTTTATGTTTTGCCCCATCTTTCTAACTGTTAACTGTTCTTTATTTGACATATGAACATGAAATATTTCTTCTGCTTTCACAACTTCCAAACAAGTTAAATCTGACACACTTTCTTTGATTTGCATGCTTCCCCGCTTCATAAACTGAGCAGATGATTTCAGATGTATGTTGTGCTCATCAATACATGGCAAGCCATTTTCTTCTTTATGAACACAAACTGTATCAGTTTTACTTGAATCACTGTTATCAGATTCTCCTAAGTTACAAGAATTTCTACTGGCACCAGTATATTTGTTATCTTCACTTTCTGTGTATTTCTTCTGATCTTCAGTATTTTCAACAAAAATGCCAGCAGTCATCTCAATATTATTTTGTTGTATTAGTTGGGTTTTATTATTTTTTTCATTAAAATGCTTACCATTGTTATAATTTTCTATTTTAAACAGTGAAACAGAATCACTACACTGACTTGAAGAGAAACTTCTTGGATCTACTGCTGCATAAGTTTCTTCACTAGTATTCTCAATGTCACTGAACAGTCTCACAGCTTTTTGCAGTGCTTCGCTAGAAACACTCAGTTTTGTGCCACGAGCAGAATAAAAGCCTCTAAATTCCACTTCATTTTTATCTGTTAAATAACCAGAAACACTTTTGTTACAGTTGGTTTTCAAAGAGCAAGCAAACTTTTGTTTACCTTCAAACTTCCTGCTATCCACCTGACTGATGGATGGGGAATTAGTTGTGAGATGAAAATCAACATTTTTCCATTCCTCAGAAGTGGTATGCAAGACAGATATGTGGTTTTCAGGCATTTCAAGTGGATTATTCTGTACCATGTGGTTTGGTTTTCTAAACTGTGTAAATTCAAACTGACTTCCTGATTCTTCCAATATAGTAGAAAGTTCTGTAATTTCTGCCTTTTGGCTAGGTGTTAGGTTATGGTGTGAATTAAAATCTTGATTCAAAGATAAAGTTGGAAGAATTGCGTGACTATTTTCACTATCAGAAGCAAATGTACCACTGTGCACACAACCAGATATAATATCAGTTGACTGTGAATCAAGCACACAAGGTTTGTTTAGTTTCTTTTGATTTTCTAACAATGAGGCACTTACAATTTCAACACCAGCTAAGCTAGTAAAAAAATGTTCTTCAATATCTTTGAAGAACACTTTACTTTTCTTAATGTTGTGTTCAGAAAGTTTTATCTCTTTATTAGAAGCTGTTCTGAAGCCATTTTCAAAATTGTGATTTGAAATGGGATCTGAGAGTTCTGCCAATTTGTCCATGTAATCATCATTTTGGTTTGATTTCTCATCTACATCCAAGGACATGTCTAACTTCAAATCTTTAACTAGAGTCATTTGCTGTGCTACATTCTTTCTGTTTTTGTCTGTAAGATCATGGACTATATTTGATGAATCAAAATCTTTCATAACTGACACTTGGGCTGCTTGTTTGTCATCTGTGCCTGTATCTACTACTGTGGTAGAGTTCTTGAGAGCAGGTTCTCTGACATAAGAGGGGCCTGCCTCTTGAAGTTCCTCAATATTTTCTAAAAGAGGAATACTCCATTTATTAGTTATTTCAAAGACAATTTCCTTCTCGTTGTCTTGAAAATTCTCTTCAGAATCTGAATTGACAGTTATTTTTGAAATTAAAGCAGTCTTTTCTTCTTTTTCAGTTACTGTGAGATCTGTGTTTTGGTTGAATTGTACCTCCATAGAAGGCGAGGCTATTGTGTATTTTTCAGGTGATAACAGCTCAGTTTTAGAAATTTCATTAAAAATGCATATTCCTTGATTCTCTTCAATGGGAATATTTTTTATTAAATCAAAACCAGCTTCACAATTCTTACATTTTACTGTCTCTGACATTTTGTATGACTTCTTTCCCCTAGAAATCATAATGGGGTTTGATGGAAGATCCTTGAAATCAGGAGTTGAAATGCTGATATTATCAAAATCATATAAAATGCTTTCCTGGGATTGAAAGTGAATACCACTACATTCTATTTCTGAATGTGGAACTGCACGGTGACATACTGCAGGCAAGTCCTGTTCTTTTATATCTAAAACTCTTTGGTGTTTTGGATCTTCTTCACAGTATTTTTCCTGAAAACATGACAGAGAATCAGGTTCTGTGGTAACAAATGACTGCAGTTTTTCTTCACTAATTTTTGCTTCTTTATAATCAAGATCCTGAGATATTTTATTAGAAGAACTGTTTTCATTATTAGAACATTTTCTCAGAATTGTCCCAAAAGAGCTGGTTAAAGATAAACTTGGTTCTTCAGAATCATCCTGTAAACAGCTTTTTTTCACAGAATGCAATAAACCTATGCATAAAGAGACAAAGTGACAAAATACAATTAAAGTACTATCAATCACACTCACTAAATATTTTCTACAAAGTTAAAAAGGTAGTACCTAAAACAAAAATTACATGAAAAGCAACAAATTAATGTCAGGTTTAGAACAGAAAGAATTATAAATACTCTCTATTTTGAAGTTACTACATTTTCCAACTAAAGATAAATGGGCCCTAGCACTTTTTTTGTGATATGTATCAACTGATATGTATCAATCAAAATTAGTGCATAGTTCCAAAAAGCAGGTATCTTTCAGATAAAATTCAAAGTAATTTTATTGAAAAATAAAATTGTAAAAAAATTCATTGTTAATATTGGTTTAGGCCCTGGTTGGTGTAGCTCAGTGGATTGAGCAGGGGCCTGCGAACCAGAGGATCGCGGTTTGATTCCCAGTCAGGGCACATGCCTGGGTTGCAGGCCAGCTCCCAGCAGGGGGACACACGAGAGGCAACCATACATTGATATTTCTCTCCCTCTTTCCTTCCCTTCCCCTCTAAAAATAAATGAATAAAATCTTTAAAAAATATGTTGGTTTAACAGAAGATGGAGAAGCAAAGGAAAGGAATGAGAAAAGTAACCATTTCTTTCAGTTAATTCAGTCTTTCATATTTAAAAAACACACAAAAAGTTACCTTTTCAAAACCAGGTTCCACTTATGATGGGCCTGAAAAATTACATAATCTCAATTATAAAGGCAAGTGAGTTAAACTGTTCTGTTCAATTTTTTAAAAAAGATTTTATTTATTATTTTTAGAGAGGGGGAAGGGAGAGAGAAATGAGAGGGAAAGAAACATCAATGTGTGGTTGCCTCTCATGTGGCCCCCACTGGGGACCCGGCCCACAACCCAGGCATATTACCCTGACTAGGAATCAAACCGGTGACCCTTTGGATCACAGCCTGCACTCAATCCACTGAGCTACACCAGCTAGGCCTACTCTGTTCGATCTTAAAGGCTATCTGAATTTCCTATTAACAAGTTGAAATTATTAATCTCATTTTCTTTCATCAGTAACTACTACTATATATTAGCTGTTTTATTGGTTTTAACTCTGATACATATAACATTGGATACTTTTTTCTGAAAATTAACCCAAATCTTAAATAGTTCCTCTGTACTCCAGTTCTAGCAAACCTATTATTTGCTAAGATATTCCAATCCACTAAAATCTTCTCATAGGAAACCAAATCACCTTTCAACAGAGTTTACTAATTAAATAAATTGTTGCTGGGGAAAAAAAAAAGTTTCACTATACACACTCTTACACACTCTGGATGTACAGAGATACAGTAATAACTCTCAGTAATCTAATATTTAAGAAAGTTATGTAACAACAATAAAAACCACTGCTTTATTTTAGGAGTGGCTTACACTAAACTTAAGCTAGAAATTATTAGCTTTTTTCCTATCCCTTTCTTGCTTTAGTGATAATACATAGTAAATAGCACACATATTTATAAAATTGTCCAACTTGCATATAATGAACACTGGAAATTAAAGCAGGGATTGCGTAGTCAATCTCTTGATGGTTATAAATCACATGCTCTGCCTCAAGAGTAATGATTATACATATACCTTACATACTGATCTAGCAAGTTTGATGAAATGGTTTTGAACATTGGTAATCAAAGGCCTAAACAATAACAAGCTGACACTGCCTGTTATTAAATACAGTTGACCCTTAACCAACATGGGTTTGAACTGAGCAGGTTCACTTACATGTGTTTTTTTCAATAAATATACAGCCAGTCTTCCCTATCTCCAGGTATTGTATCTGCAACAAACCACGAATGGAAAACAGTATTTTCCATCTGTGTTTTGGAATCCATGGATGCAGAGGGCTGACTACATGCACTGTTCTATACCATTTTATATAAGGGACTTCAATATCTGAGGATTTTGGTATCCTGGAACTAGTCCCTTTTGGATACCAAAGAATGAATGAGTTTTGGGGAACTGAAAAGTTATACTCAAATTTCCAATTGCATGGAGACTGGCACCCCAATCTTTGTGTTGTTCAAGGGTCAAAACCCAAAAAACTACAGAAGGCAGTATGCTTGTGAAAAGATTAAAGAAAAGAGATTTACATATTCATTTAAGAGAACTTGGCCCTGGCTGGTGTAGCTCAGTGGATTGAGCACGGGCCTGTGAACCAGAGGATAACAGTTCGATTCCCAGTCAGGGCTCATGCCTGGGTTGCAGGCCAGTTCCCAGCAGGGGACACATAAGAGGCAACCATACATTGATATTTCTCTCCCTCTTTCCTTTCCTTCCCCTCTAAAGAAATAAAATCTTTAAAAATTAAAGAAAAAAAAAAAGAGAACTTGTCAACATCCACATAACTGTAGGTAATACACACACACACACACAACGGTACCTGAATCAGCATTTGTAACTGTAGATGGTGCTTCAAAAGTGTTTGCTTCAAATTGGGTAGAATAGTTACTTAGTCCTGATTCTTGATCCTTCTTCATTTTTAATCTTTGATAAGATGTTTCACCATTTACAGCATAAATAAACTTTTTAGTTTTCTTTCTCAAAGTAGATATTAAACCCTTATTCTGCAAAGCTATAGATGTATGTTTGATAGTGACTGGCCAGCTTCCATTATCAACTGAACTTGTACAGGAAGAACTCTCTTTCTGGGAGAAAATGGTACCTATTTCCAATCCACTTTCAGAGGCTTCAGGTTCTTCTTTAAAATTTGGATCAGTCATATTATTTGAAGAAAGTGAACTGGGTGTCTCTACAGGCGATTCTCTTAACCTGAACAGAGACTTTTTGATACCCTGACAAGGAGAAGCTATTAGGGAAGTTTCAGACATTATGTTCTTTACCACTAGAGTGTCCTCTTCATGTGGTTTAAGACACTGTCCTTCATCTCTCTTATTCACTGTTTCCTCCTTTAATGTCTTCTCTGTCTTCGGTACACTTGAAATATGTGGCAAAGAATCTTCTAAAGTAATAAAGTTGGTACATTCTTTCTCTATGCCTATGAGGTCTTTTTCAGAATTATTTTGGTCACAAGAAGAAATATGCAGTAGAGGTATTTTGCCCATCTGGGTTCCATTTAGACCTGAGAGGGTTAGCTGAGAGCATTTGAAAGCTGGAGACTGTACAGTGTCCTCAGAGATTCTGTCACTTCTGTTCCCAAAGGGCTTCTGATTCATTTGTTTTGTATCTAATGGATTATTGCCATTTGGTTCCATTTCAGCTAAAAATGAATGTTTACTTTCTTTTATTTGTTTTTTAGCTTCTTCACATTCACTGGTTTTTATTTCATTGAAACTATTTTTCCTAGTCTTGCCAGTTTTTATTTTTTGTATATATCTCTTTTTATATTTAGAAACACATAGTAAGAAATTATCTTCTTCAGAAATATCGCCAACCTTTTCATGTACTTCACCTTCTAAAACATTTGGCACTGACTTTGCAAAATGGTCTTTGCAGCTACTTACTTTACCAAATGAATTTTCCAATCCTGTTAAAATTTAAAACAGAAGCATATTAATAACATTTTATAATAAATCCATATAATTTATATGATTCTTACAATCTTCTTCATAGAAATAGTAGGTACTAAATAATACAAAATTGAACCTTTAAAGGGTTATCCTGACTACTGGCTATTTTTGGAGGGGCAGAGGGGACACCCACCCTTCTTCTGTTCTTCTGATAAAGCAGATTCTACTGTAGTCAAAGCCCTTCATTCATTCTCCAATCACCAATAACCTTTCTTTACCAGCTTTACACAATTAAAATTACCCCAATATTACTTTACGTATTTAATATTCTAACATTCATCAAACCAGACGGTTCAAATTAATTTTGTGGCTCTACAATTGAAAGTAAAATATGATTTTATACATACACCTACACACTCACAGATGTGTACTGTGGGGTAATCCTACATATTCAAGGGGTAATCCTACATATTTATATAGACATACACACACTAAGAAAAATGCAATATTCCAATGATATCATTAGGCAGTTTTTAGCATTTCTGCAACCATATTTACTAATTAGAAAATATGGTATTCACATTTTGTTAGTTGTAAGTATTATTCTTAATCTCTGTTAAGTTTTGAGTAATTGGTTTTGTTTTTGTGTCATAACAATACCTTGAATAGTCTTGCTTTAGCATGATGCTTTAACATTTTCATCTAAGTCAGGTTAGTTTCTACCCTTAATACCTTTAGTCATCCAGTAAAGAGAACCAATGTGTTTTATTTTTAAGAGAAACAATACTTCAATGATGTCAGTTAAAAAGTCATTCACATAAAGACTTACCATGACTTTTAGCTTCTCTTTGATTTTTGATTTCATTGTCTGGCCCAGAAGGAATAAACCTGTCATTTTTCTTCAGACTTCCATCATACTCAGAAAAATAGCTTCTACAAATCTACGAAAGTTATATTTTAAAATTACTAATATAAATACTTAATTATCCATAAACATTCAACTTATTCTTAAACAGAGTAACAGGCGGATTTATCATAGGAAATCAAAGTAAATCACATATAGAAAAAGGTTTAGAGACTTTCTCAAAGGCTTAGACAAATCATAAAATAAGGAATGAAAAAGGCAAGATAAATAATTTTTCAAAGCATCATACTTAAATTATAAGCAACTACAACAGCATAATCTTTCCCATTCACTTACAGCAGTAGTATCATTAGGAAATACAGCTGCAGGTGCCTCTTCCTCTCTGACTGTAAAAGAAAAATTCAATTGACTATAGGTACTGTACATCATACACTACAGCTGATGCAAAAACTTAGGTATTTTTTGGTCAGATATCAAAAGACTATTATTGGATTGAATGACACATTTCAAAGAAAAATGACCCAAGTTTAGTATTTAGAAAGGTCACTCAACACAGTGAATAAGCTATAGTCACTTCCTTAGTACCATTTGCAAAGGGGTAAAAAATTATGGTTTGATGATCCTGACTCTAAGGTGATACTGTCTGGTAAGACTTGGAGAATCAGATTAAGCTGTGGAGTCACAATTTGAAAGCTAATGCTTGTAGATATTAGCATTTATTTAGATGCTAATACAATCTAAAGGCATATCATATGTTAAACACTTTTTAATTTTCAACATGCTTTTACTGGTACTATTGCATCTGAGCAACAACAGAGCAAATTTATTTTTTCAGCTTAAGAGAAATCAAAATGGAATGCATTTTTGCTAGAATAAAAAAAATTCTGATTTGCAAATAAATTAATCTGACTCTTACAGAATAGTACCTAACATACTTCTGATTCATACCAGTTTGCTGTAAACAAAATACCGTATTTTGCCACATATAATGCACTCCTGTGTATAATGCCCATTCACATTTTTGGCCCCAACTTTCAGGATCCTTTCATTTTACTTTTTAATTAATGTTTTAACTTATTTATAATTAGAAACAAAACCGGGAGTTCCAGCTAAGATGGAAGTGTAGGTAGAAACCCTTCGTTTCCTTGCACAACCAAAAGGATAACAATCAATCTAAAAACAAGAAACAACCAGAAGTGCCAGAAAATCAAACTGCATGGAACTCAGACAACTAAGGAACTAAACCAGACCAGTAGGAGGGAGACGAGTGAGACAGGGCAGACAGACAAAACCCACAGCAAGGTGAGGGGCTGTGCGGGTGGGCTGGCTGAATAGGAAACTGAGACTCACAGCTGGCTGTGGCCTATGGCAGGGGTTGCCACAGTGGGAGAAATTCCTGATCTCATATGAGTTCATTGGAAAATGGGGCAAGAGCTGAGCAAGTGAACTGCACTGTTCCCTCTCTGACCACACCTACAGCACCACAATGCAGCAAGGAGGATTGCCATGCCCAGGTGAATACCTAAGGCCCCACCCCCTTACAACCTATTAGCTGCATCAGGACAAAGAAATATGGCCCAAATGAAAGAACACAGCAAAAATCCAGAAAACAGCTAAGTGATAAGGTGATAGCCAACCTATCTGATGGAGAGTTCAAAACACTGGTAATCAAAATGCTCACAGAACTGTTTGAGCTTGGTCGAAAAATGAAGGGACAAATGAAGGATACCCAAAGTGAAATAAAGCAAAATATTCAGGGAACCAACAGTGACAGAAAGGAAACCAAGACTCGAATCAGCAGTGTGGTTCAGAAGGAAGAAAGAAATATCCAACTGGAACAGAATGACGAAACAAGAATTCAAAAACATTAATAGAGGCTTAGGAACCTTTAGAATAACTTTAAACACTCCAATATCTGAATTATAGGGGTGCCAGAAGGAGAACAACAGTAAGATATTGAAAACTTATTTGAACAAATGATAAACAAAAACTTCCCCAATCTGGCAAAGGAAATAGACTTCCACGAAGTCCAGGAAGCCCAGAGAATTCCAAAGAAGTTGGACCCAAAGAGGAACACACCAAGATATATCATCATTAAGTTATCCAAGATTAAGGATAAAGAGAGAATCTTAAAAGCAGCAAGAGAAAAGGTGAGAGTTAACTTACAAAGAAGTTCCTATAAGACTGTCAGCTGATTTCTCAAAAGAAACATTACAAGCAAGAAGGGGCTGGAAAGAGGTATTCCAACTCATGAAAGGCAAGGACCTACATCCAAGATTACTCTATCCAACAAAGCTATCATTGAGAATAGAAGGGCAGATAAAGTGCTCCTCAGAGAAGGTCAAGTTAAAGTAGTTCGTCATTACCAAGCCTTTATTGCATGAAATGTTAAGGGATGTATCTAAGAAATTGAAGAAGATCAAAAACTATGAACAGTAAAATGACAATAAACTCACGACTATCAACAACTGAACCTAAAAAAAAGAAAAACAACAAAAACTAAGCAAACAACTAGAACAGGAACAGAATCAGACAAATGGACATCATACGGATGATTTTCAGTGGGACAGGGGAGGAATAGGATGAAAGGTACAGGGAATAAGCAGCATAATTGGTTGGCACAAAATAGATGGGGAAAGATTAAGAATGTTATAGGAAACAGAATTCAAAGAACTTATATGTACAACTCACTGACATGAACTAAGCAGGTGGAATGCTGGAGGGTTGAGGTGCAGGGTGATGGGGGATAAAGAGGGATAAATTGGGAAAACTGTAATAACATAATTAATGAAATATATTCTAAAAAAATAAAAGAAAAAGAAACAAAACCTATTATCATAATCCAGGGTATTATTCTGCATATGGATACCATTATTGCTTTCTAGTTATACTTCTAATATATGAGCATAAATAAAAATTAAAAGCATTTATATAGATACAGAATTAGCAATATCCATGTATAATACACATCCTTATTTTCCCCTCAAAAATTTGGGCAAAAAAGGCGCACATTATATATGGTAAAATATGGTAATACTATTTTGAACTAATATGTTTATAAAAGACAGGATTACCTAGTTTAATTATTATTTAATTACCTTTTCATATTTTCTTTTTAATACAAAGTATTAAAGATGATAATTTATCAACATCATTTACTTTCTTAGAAAAAACATTTGATAGTATTACCTATGAGAACAGTAGAACTAAGGGTTGGTGGTGTGGCTAAAGAACTTGACCAAGACATATCAGGATCTACCTCAGCCCCTAGACTTTCAGAAATATGTTTTCTAGTCTGACCCTGGAAATAAAGAAAATAAATTATTACACAGAAAGACACTGACGAAATTTTTTTAATATTTTTTATTCACTTATTTTTTTCATTTATCATTTACTAAATTCCTAAGTGAGGCCACAAAGTATATTACTGTAAATCTCAGGGTAAAGGTATGACACTGTTATCAAATTCTCAATTAATACATAACAAAAATAAACTAGGCAGAATAGTTACCTTCATAAGCTTCGGTGTATGAAATAAATTTCCACATACCACTGGAGGTAAAACAAAAAAAAAATTACTAAGTTTTATTTTTGTTAAAATTTAGAATATTTAAAAAAATAAAAAGTCTTGTTTTTAATCATACCTGACTTTTCTCTTTTTGGTGTTACATGTGTACATTGCAGAATACCAGAACTAAAACAAAACAAAGTAAATCCCTCAGATTATTCAGGAGATAACAGATATGGCAAATAACATTTACTAATGTTACTTAAAAAAAAGGACTCTCAATGATATTAGAATGATACCACTCTGCAATACTACTTTTATATTACTTTTTAAAAAGTAAATATTGCATGAAAAATTTAAAAACCACTAAATTATGTTTCACATGCCCACTGAAAGTAATGTATACAGTACACATAAATTTCAGCTGCTAAGAATTATATATACATATATATAATTTTTTTTTTACTTATTTCTAGAGAGGGGAGAAAAGAGAGAAACATCTATGTGAGAGAAAAACATCCATTAGTTGTCTCTTGCACATCCCCAACCAGGTAACTGGCCTACAATCCAGCCCCACAACCCAGGCATGTGTCCTGGCCAGGAACAGATCTAGTGACCATTTTGGTTTGCAGGGCAACATCCAACCAACTGAGCCACACCAGCCAGGGCAGGAATTACATATTTTGAATTTAAAAATTATGTAAAGTGAATCTATAATAGCCTCATATTCTCTTTCCAGTGATTCAAAATGCATGAATAATTTATTTTAAACTGGCATTTCAAAGGCATTTTTTATCTTTAGCATTTTTGCTACTTAAAACTTCAAAGAATATACAGAAAAACCAGTCAATTCAACATTGTAAGAAAAACAAAGTAAATGTTTCTAATGTAGAAATTAATGTAGTAAAGAACCCAACCTAAAAGGATATTATTTAAAAATACTGGGTTGGCCAAAATGTCCATTCAGTTTTTTATGTAAATAAGTCACATTTTTTTCATTCTCACCAATAACTTTATTGATTTGGACATTTTGAGTATGTCAGGTATCTCCCAATATTGGCTTCTAGATAAAAGCCAGGGGTGTGGCTAAACATCTTCTAATACGCAGCAAAGAATTACATGGCTAAAATGTCAATAGTAGTAAGAAACTTTGCATATCACTTTTGACAAATTTGATCTGCCACAGTACCTTTTCCATATACTGCACAAATTTTTACATTTCAGTTCTGTTTTTAACCTTTTTTTAAATAATAAAGCATTATATGCCAAAAATGTTGTGTATTTTCCTCTATCTTTGATATTGAAATGGATGAAAAAATTCACCAATTTTGATAATTTTTTAAGATGCACAGTAATATGTCAACTGTCACAATACAATCTATTAAAATTGTTTCAAATGGCATTAAAGACAACTAAGCACAACTAGGGTCATTGTACAGAAAAAACTAAATGAATTTTTTGGCCAACCCAAAAAAAGATTCTCTTCCAGGTTTTCTCTACTCAGAATATTAGTGTGAAAATCAGATGCATTTCTATAAAACAAATATCCTATGCCGAAAAATGTTTCATTTAAGTATTTATCATACCTTTCACTAAGACAAGAATTTAGAGGTGAGCTGATAACATCATTTGCTTGATCCATTTTAGCCTTCATTGTACAACTACTTTTATGCTTACTATTGGCAATATGCTTTCCTGAAAAAGAGTACAATAATTCAGTGAAGATATACAAGCTCTGTATTGTGAATTTTCATTTCCTGAAGTATTTAAAAACAAAAAAGTCTCATCTACACCAAGGAGAATGTACAGGAAGTTTGGTCTGAATTGGCTACTCCATTTGCCAACTCTTCCCCAAAAGGGATGTCTGCCTCCATTTCAACAAGCATGTTATAAGCATATAATACACATAAGGCACTTTAAATAATACAATTAAGATACAGCTTTATCCTCAAGGAGTTCAGAATATAGTAGTGGAAAATTTTCATTTTTTTGAAATGTGTACCAAATTAATTTTTTGAATGAATTTGGTACACATTTCAAGTGGAATGTGATTATGTCCTATTATTAGGTCATACACAGTTCTACGGTGTCATGGAGGATAAAAGTAAAAGAAAAGACATTTACTGAAAACCCATCAGGGTACCTAATCTGACCACATTACTTTTCTGCTAAAAACCTTTTGAGATCTTGGTGTCAAGATCAAGTTCAAACTCCATAATAAAACTCCCTGGTAATAGGACCTGCACAATCTGATGTCTTAATTTCTATGATGACACTTTTTCATACTCTCTTCAGCTATTCCCAACCACTTGCATACACCGCAAGAATCATTCTCTCAGTCTAGAGAGAACCATCGTACAGACTGTTTCTCACTTTATTTCTTTAACCTGGAATATCCTCTTTCAGGCTCCCATTTTGAAATCACGTCTTCCAGAAAACTTCAGTGGTCCCTAACCTCAGACTAAGTGCATGCTCCTCCTATGTTCCTGCAGAGTCTGTCATACACTGTTCCTGTTTCCCATCAGACTGAGTTCCCTGAGGAAGAGATTCTGTCTGACTGATCACGGTATCTTTAGCAACTACAGTAATTTCTGATGTTATAGTCACTCCATGAACATTGACTAAATAAATCAGCAAGGTTTAGAAAGGTGGGTTGTAGATAGCAACACATAATACTTTCATTCCTGTTGAACACATCTACTTTCTCAGACAATAATGCTAAGACAGGGTGGGTTTCCATAGCTGTATGTGATTTTAGCAAATCTAACCTATAGTTTTTCAACAGTCCTATATTTTGTATCACCAATTGGGTACTCAAGGCACTTATTACTCTTAAAAACTGCTTTTAAAAATAGTTGCTTTAACTGATCCTACAATCTCTAACCTAGAACGTTGGAGAAGATAAGCCAACAGTGTTAGTAAGTCAAGCAAAAACCAAACGGGAAATTATTTGTAGTAGCATACACAAAACATTGTATTATATTCTCCTTTCTCAAGTGACAGGGAATAGACATAATCACTAATAAACCAAATACACATATAAGTTTAAAAAACCCACTTCAATGAAATACCCAACTTCCTTTGTTATCATTTGTTATTAACATTCAAAATGTCATAACATTTTCTTTTGTTATGAAACTCTTAAAGATGCTTAAAAAGCAGCTAAACCTGTATCGTGAAATTTCATCTTTTCCCTGTTCACTTTAAAAAGATTTTCAAAAATGACTTAAAACAATAAACTGGACAATGAGATACCACCACACACCTATTAGAATGAAAATCAAAAGCACAGACAGCACCAAATGTTGCTGAGGATGTGAAGCAAGACGAACTTTCATTTATAGCTGGTGGGAATGCAAAGTGGTACAGCCACTTTGAGAGAGTTTGCTGTTTCTTACAAAACTAAATATAATTCTAACATAGGATCCAGCAAATTGTGCTCCTTGGCAAATACCCAAATGATGTGAAAACTTAGGTCCACACAAAAAAACCTACAAATGAATAATTACAGCAGTTTTATTCATAATTTCCAAAACCTGCAAGCAACCAAAATATAGAACATTTTTCAGTGATAAAAAGAAATGAGCTGTCAGGCCATGAAGATACAGATAAAACTAGTATTGCTAAGTGAAAGAAGCCAATCTGAAAAGGCTACGTACTTTACGTATATGACATTCTGAAAAAGGCAAAACCATATGGTAAAAAGATCAGTGGCTACCAGGGAGGGGCTCAGGGGCCTTGTGGGAGGGTGGTAGGGGTAAACTAGAGTACAGGGGATTTTTAGGGCAGTGAAACTACTCTGCACGATACTGTAATGGTGCTTACATGACATTATGCACTTGTCAAAACCCACAGACCTGTCAAAGAAACCATATTACATATAAACAAAGGACTTTAGTTAATAATAAAGTATCAATATTGGATTAGCAACAAAAAGAAACTACAATGAATAAAAATTTTTAAATGAACCAAGCAAAAACAAGTACATACCAAAATAAGTATTTTCCAAGTAACTTGAGAATCTCACAAATAAGCTGAGTAACGGTAAGATAAACTTGTATTTTATGCAAAAGGATGGACAGGCTACTGAGAAAAACAGTTTCTTATGGAACTTCAGGGATAATGCATTATTTTTAAAAATAATGTATTAGGTGTTAGAACAAAGTAGTTTAAAAAACAGCTTAAATCTTACATTTCAACAATGAATTTAAAGTAAACTTAAAAGCAAAATGTCTTGAGACTACAGTCAACTGAATTATTTATACACTATAACCTTAAAACTGTCAGGTTCTCTACATAGTCAAGTGGCTGTATTAACTCATTGCTATCCTCCCCTAATTGAGGATAAATCAATTCCAGCAGATTAAGTTTAGAGGATAAACCACTGGCTCTAGGTATATCCTTACCTTTTAGAAGATTCAGTATCCACTGGTTTTAGAGCTTTCCTTGACCACATTAAGACCTAAGGCTGCTTCCTTCATTATCTCCACAACACAGTAAGTACTGTGTCTAAGCTCCTGTTCTAACAGGTGCCATACCAGAATATTTATTTAAATATTTTCTCTCATACAAGACTGACTTCCTAGAGGTCAAACACCACTTTGTAAGGACCTTGTAATCACATTAAGGAGTCTGAATTTTATCATGAGGGCAAAAGGGAGGTAATCCAAAGTCTGAAGCAGGAAGTAGGAGCATGATTAAATTTGCTTTTTCTGCTTGACAGTCTATCAAATAAATTTCCTTTCTTTAGCCTGGCATTTGATATCTGCCTCTAATCTGCTTTTTAGCCTTAGGTTTTTATTGGTCCCTGTCAGATTTGACACTCTAAATGATTGAAATTATTTGCTATTCTCTTAACAAACTGCATATTCTTCATGTTTTTCCTCTGCCTACAACACTATCACATTGCCCCATTTTCTACCCTTCAATATTTAATTCAAATGAATCATTTCCCATTTATCCCATTATTTATGCTTTCTTCTCAATTCTCATTGTACTTTTTAATGTACCACATTCAATCTTAGACTATAATTTATCTTTGTACTTTAATTCTCCTTACTAGTGGATAGTACTCCATAGAAAGGAAGAGGATGTTACTTAAATCAAGCAATAAATGACCAATATTTGATTAACTGGAAGTATCTGGCACATAGGCCAGAGAAACTGTTATCAAACCGGGAGATTTGATAAAAACTAATCTTCCCTGTCCTCTGTGACAACCTGCAGAAATACAATTTTGTATAATCCATATAAAGTCCTAGGGTGCATTTTTGTTTTTGTATAGGAAAGATAAAACTTAGCAAATTTCAGTAGGAAGGATATATTAATCAAAGGATGCAGGAGAGGAACATTTATTAAGTACCTACCTTATTTTATTTAATCCAAATTTATCAGATAGTATTTTTATCATCTCCATTTTCTTAGGTGGGCACAGTGAAGCCAGAGGGGTTGATCTGACCAACATAACTGAGTTAATGACAGAGTAGGGATTCTTAATACAGGTTAGTCTGAATTCCTGCTTCATTTTCTTCCCTAGTCTACATATTACTTACCTATCTCTAATCTGTCCTTATCCAATTCTTTTAAAGGAGATTGGTACAGTGGCAGAGTTAGACATTGCTCTTTGAATATAACTGGTGTTGAAGCCAACTGATAAGGTTTTCTTTGTGGAGTTTTAAATACATTTGGTTCATAACTGATGACTTTAAATTCAGATTCTTCTGCAGTTTCAGAATTATAAGGTAGAGCTTCTGAAGAAAGTTCTTCAAACCAATTAATGCTTATTGGTCCTAAATCTGTAAGAAAAATAAAAACCTCATCTTGGTTTTAATTAGGGAAACAAAAATTCATGAGCCAGTAAAGATCATTATAAATAAAAGGATGCTTGACATTTGGACTATGGATGACTTTTCTTAAAGCACATTAATTAAATAGGATCACTCATCTGTTCTGTTATGAATCTATAGTAAGGTATAAGAAGTTTACAAAAGTTATGAGAAGATAGCTTTTAACTATATTAGCTCTTCTAAAGTCTTATTTTTTAATCCTCACTCAAGGATATGGTTTTACTGCTTTTTAGAGAGGAATGGTACAGTAAGACAGAGAGACAGGGAAATATCAATCAACAGCCTCCTGTATGTGCCCCTACTCTGGGGATTGAACCCACAATCTAGACATGTACCCTGACCAGGATTCAAACCTTCAACCTTTTGGTATACAGGACAGCACACCAACCAACTCAGCCACCACCCAAGGCTAAAGTTTTCTTTATCTTTTATTCATTATTCAGAAACAAAAACCATAGTAGGAATGCATTCTACAGACACAGTTCAAATGTTTATAGACTATAGAAGCAGATGTGATGAATCTATAGGTAAGGAATGTTTAGACTCACAAATAAAAGGGAATAAAATGATTTGTTGTTAAAGATAAATAACAAAACATCTACTCTGATCTATCCACTCTTAAAGTAGTACTTCCAAAAGTGTGGACCGTGGAATAATTGGGGGGACCTTTTTAAAAGGTCCCTGAGGTCAAAACTATTTTCATAATAATACTAAGGCATCATTTGTGTTTTTCGCAATGTTGACATTGCACCACTGGTAAGTAAACTGATGACATCTTTGTGTGAGTTAAGGCAGTGGCAGCAAATTGTGCTAATAATCACTGTATTTATTCTTCATCACCATGTACTTCTGAAGAAACAAAAACAAAAACAGAAAACCCAGTTTAATTTAAAATGTCCATAATGAATGCCCTGACTGGTGTGGCTCATTTGATTGAGCAATGATCTGTGAACTATAAGGTCACTATTTCAATTCCCAGCCAGGGTACATGCCTGGGTTGCGGATTTGGTCTCATCAGGGAGCATGTAAGAAGCAACCGATCAATGTTTCTCTCTCATATCGATATTTCTCTCTTTCCTTCTCCCACCCTTCCCTCTGGAATCAATAAAAGAAAAAATAAAAATAAAATGTCCTTAATGAAGTAAAAATTAGTAATATTAAAGCCCAATATTAATATTAAAAACAGATCTTTTTAATATTCTGTGACAAAATGAAAAGTATATATAAGCATTTCTACATATTTGAGTATAGCAGTTGTCTAGAAAAGCAATCGTATGAGTTATGAGCTGAATTAGCACTTCTTTTCATAGAAAGCGTAATTTTTACTAGAAAGAATGACTAAGTCATTCTTAGTTGGGTGGTTTGGGAGACATTTTTTTGAAAATGAATGAAGTGAGCTTGTCCCTGAGGGAAAACAACAACCAATGAAAATTAGAATTTTGTTAAACTTTACCAGGCTCTGTCAGCTCGACATCCTCCCAATCTTAAAAGACTTCTCATGACATCAGTGAACTAATATGATTTTTTAAAGATATTGTTTATTGCAACATGTCAATATAGGGAATATCTGTGTTATTCAGAACACAGGCACTTTCCTAATTGGTGCATAATGTTACAGTATAGATAAAAAATTCATTCAAAATGTGAGAAAGAATAAGAGACTTTAATGTAACAAAAGTATGAAAAGTTCATGACATGGTTTCAGATTCAACATTGCAACTTTTAAGAAACTATCACTTAAGTTTTGGTGTAGTATGGAAAAAAATACCCATAAATAACTGAGGACTATTAAAATATTCCCTTCTTATCCAACTACATTGCTGTGTGAGGCTGGGTCTTCAACCACAGCAACATATCGCAACAGACTGGCTATCTTCGATTAAGCCAGATATTAAAGAGAATGGAAAAAAGTAAAACAATGTCCATTTTTAAAATATAGGTCGTCTTCATAAAAATATTTATATTAACATGCACTGAGTTTATTTTTATATGTAATTAAATTATTACATATCAAATTATGTAATAATGTTGTGATAATTATGTGAATTATTAAATATTTAAAGTTTTAAATTTAATTTCTAATATAGAAAGCTACATAAAGAAAAGCTCACAGATTCAACTTCTGGCCAAGACAGAGGCATAGGCAAACACACTGTGCCTCCTCATACAACCAAAATAAGGCAAACAAAAATGTAGAAACAAAAAACTCCAGGACTGACAAAAAACTAAACCATATGAAAGTCCGACAACCAAGGAGTTAAAAGAAGAAACATTCATCCAGACCGGTAGAAGGGGCAGAGTCGGCAGGCTGGGTGAAGAGGACTTTTGCCAAAGTGGCCAGTGGACCAGACAGTCTCGCATTCACGCGCAGATCAACCAGGTGAAACTGGGGAACAAGACAAATCGCACAACCCAGGATTCCAGCATGAGAAAATTAAACCCTCAAAACATGGATTGAAAACACCTGTGGGGGCTCAGGTACTGGGAGAAACTCCCAGCCACACAGGAGGATTCACTGGAGAGACCCACAGGGTCCTAGAATGTACACAAACCCACCCACTCAGGAATCAGCACCAGAACGGCCCAATTTGCTTGAGGGAATCAGGGGAAGTGACTGAAATCCAGCGGAGAGCAGAGCAAGCAACATTGTTCCCTCTCCAACCCCTCCCCCACAGCGTCACAACTCAGTGTCTGGGTTGCCCTGCCCTGGTGAACAGCTAAAGCTCCGCCCCTCATATGTAACAGGAGCATCAAGACAAAAAAAGAATGGCCCAAATGAAAACACAACTCAAAGCCCCAGAGCCAATACTTCTAAGTGACAAAGAGATATAGCCAATATATGGATGGACAGTTCAAAACACTGGTGATCAGGATGCTCACAGAACTGGTTGAATTTGGTCACAAATTAGATGAAAAAATGAAGGCTGTGCTAAGTGAAATAAAGGAAAATGTACAGGGCACCAATAGTGATGGGAAGGAAACTGGGACTCAAATCAATGGAATGGACCAGAAAGAAGAAACAACCAAACAGAAAAGATGGAAGAAAGAAGAATTCAAAAAAATTAAGAGAGGCTTAGGAACCTCCAGGATATCTTTAAATGTTCCAACATCCAAGTATAGGGGTACCAGAAGGAGAAGAGGAAGAGCAACAAGTAGAAAAGATATTTGAACAAATAATGAAGAAGAACTTCCCCATTCTAGCAAAGGAAATAGACTTCCAGGAAGCCCAGAGAGTCCCAAAGGAGTAGAATTCAAGGAAGCACACACCAAGGCACATCATAATTACATTACCCAAGATTAAAATGGAGAAAATTCTAGAAGCAGTAAGAGATAAGGAGACAGGTACCTACAAAGGGGTTCCCATCAGACTGTCAGCTGATTTCTCAAAAGAAACCTTGCAGGCAAGAAGAGGCTGAAAAGAAGTATTTGAAGTCAGGAAAGGCAAGGACCTATATCCAAGACTGCCCTATCCAGGGAAGCTTTCATTTAGAATGTAAGGGCAGATAAAGTGCTTCTCAGATAAGGTCAAGTTCAAGGAGTTCAGCATTACCCAGCCCTTATTATCCCTTAGATAAGGGATTCTTCTAAGATAAAGATAAAAAATATGTACAGTAAAATGACAGCAAACTCACAATTATTAACAACCACACCTAAAACAAAAACAAAAACAAACTGAGCAAACAATCGAACAGGAACAGAACCAATAGGGGAGTGAGAGGAGGAGAGAGGGGGGAAAAGGTACAGAAAATAAGTAGCATAGATGGTAGGTAGAAAATAGACAGGGGGAGGGCAAGAATAGTATGGGAAATCTAGAAGCTAAAGAACTTACAAGTATGACACATGGACATGAACTAAAGTGGGGGAAAGTGGGTGAGAGAGGGGGTGGAGGGGAGTGAAGGGGGAAAATGGGACAACTGTAATAGCATAATCAATAAACTATATTGAAAAAAAAAGCTCTTTGAGGCCTTCTATCATTTTTAAGAGTGTCAGGACTACTGCGACCAAAAAAATTGACAACTACAAAAGGAGAGTTTTTAAAGAGGGAAGGACGCCTTTGACAAAAAATACAGGCAACCTCTAGTAACTAGAAAAAAAAGCAAGAAGAGGTAAAACTGCCAATTATTCTCATTTTCTGGAAGTGCTATGCTGTAAAAACAATTCTTCCTACTGCTAATCAAGGGGCCAGTCTCCTCTTTATCCACCAGGTGTTCTATATCATTTGGTAAACGTTCATTCTCTTAACTAGATTTATGATTTCATAAACAATTTATAGTGATTACAAAAAAAGTGAAGAATTGGATTCCTTTCCAGCAATCGTGTATATTTACTTAATTTTCTAAAAACATTTGCCCAGTGAAACTAATCAATTTATATAAAATCTGTCAGTACCTGCTTGGTTGCACCGCATCTTAAAAATTCCAAAAAAAGTTGGCCTCTCTTTGCATCCAATAGGCATTTTGCTCTATAATATTATTACTCCAACGCTTGGAAATTGGGTCTGCAAAATAGAACAGAATACACTTCTTGAGGAGCGGCCCCTGACAATGAGGTAAAGTCAGAAGAGGGTACAGTTGCTTAAAGCAACACTCATGACTGATCTCGGTCCCCATGAACAGGCTGTTGTGAAAATTTTAAATACGTTAACTAGTCACGTGAGGCGAGAGTTCCCATTAGCGGTAAAAATCCAACTCAAATGAGGACGTCTTGGTCCCACAGGCACCAGCTGGGATGAAACGGGGCGGAAACAGTGTCGGAAGCGGGAAACCTTGTTCACGACACAATATTCCAGAAATGCAACTTTATCGTGTGCAAGGTTTCAGACCGGGGCACTAGCTACAGCTAGGAGCCCACGCCCGAGTGGCAGGCGTGCGGCAGGGCCCAAGCGTCCCAGGAGAGGAGCTAAGTGTCCACCGGGAGGCCCGGTTCATCGTCCCCATCTGCGTGAGACTGGCAGCGATGACTACAGGGCCGAGACGGCCGCGCGTGCTTCCGCAACACTAACCACCTGCACAGACGCCGTTCTTCGGAACCCATAGGATCTTCCAGCGGCGACCATCCGCACTCAGGAACCAGGCGCAGCAACTTCTCCATAAGGGCGTTCGTACGCTCGCGCCAAAGCCGCACTCCCCTACGTCACGCGCTGACGACCCGACGCTGCACGCTCTGAGCGCGCAGCCCGGAAGTCAGGTTGGCTGCCCCGCCCAGCTTAGCTAGCGAGCGCTAGTGTGTGGTTGGACTGCAGAGAGGTCGTTCTGTAACTGTAAGGCAGTGTCTTCTCACGCAGCCCTGAGAGGGCCGCCCTGTGTACACTCTGCGATTTCCGCCCCGTCCCTGGTGTCGTGTTCAGGGGCCGCACACGGTCTGTTGTCTCTGATAGGCCTCTATTCTGGCCCCGAAATTGCCATCCTTTGAAACCCAGCGAGGTCCTTGGCAGAAGATGACCCGTTTCCGGCCGCTTCTCCCTGTGGAGTGGACAGGCTGATGTGTGAAGCCAAGAGACTTAAATTCTAACCCTGTGATGTTCTAAGGTAGAAGGTTTAAGACTTTTGAGCTCTCTCCCCTCCTGAGAAATGGGGACCCCTTCTAATCCTTCCTGCAGCGTTAGCTACTCCCATCGGCAGGCTGCCCTAGTATCCTTTACATGCTAACGGTACCGATCATTCTGTTTGTCTGTGATCCCCTCCAAACTACCCGGAAGACAAGGCTCTGTCCTTGTCACGGACAGGGTCAGACACTCCTGGCACAGGCTTAATTCGGGGTAGTTCCTGGCTCAAAAGCCTTCCACTGGGTTCTGGAGGTGGAAGCTGCCCGTGGGCCCTGCTGCTTGAGCAGTAAACAGTAGAAGCAGCCTTGGATTAGAAAAAAGATGGGCTCTGCTGTGTTCCTCAGGGGTCATTCAGTCTGATCACAACCCTCAGCTGCGCCAGGAAGCCTGACCAATACAGAGATACCAACGCTTATGGTCACCTGGGTCTGAATAGCAAGGGAACACAGGCCTGAGATACTTGTGTAACAGTAACTGCCAGCTTACTGAGCATGCGAGTCAGTCTGCCTTGTGCTTCACAAGCAATAACACATTTAGTCTTACAGTCTTCCCATAAATTGGTTAGTACTGTCAGATGGGGAATCTGAAAGTAATTTACGGTTATGATGTCTGGTAACAAGGCATAGTTTTAATTCCAGTGGGTTTGATCTCACGTAATTAACTATCCTGCTATTACATCTGCATTGACCTTCTAAATCAGAACAGTTTGCTTCCCCCACCTTTTTTGGGGGGAAGGTGTCCTCACTAGGAGTGGACTGAACCTGTGACATGTCATAGAACCCCCTGAAATATATTTTCTCTCACCATGTACACCCCTCCTCCCCATAACTTCATGCTCCCTGTTCCTCTCGTCTTTATTTTCATCAGCCCTGCCATAATAGTGTACTTTCTTCCTTACACTCTTCTAGTGTAGGGCTGCTCAAATAATCTCCTCCTTGTTTTCATTTTACTGTATGCTTTAAAACAGGATCTTTGAAATGATACATTACTTTGGGAATAAATAAATAAGCTATTTATTTATTAGCTATAAATAAATAAGTAGTTAACTATAGCAAGTGTGTGAATAAGTCAGCAATAGTAAAATAGGTTTGAAAAGATTTGGGAGCAGCGAATTGAAGACACAGGTAAGAGCAATTTGAATCAGGTGGCAATTAGGCCTCTGTAGGTAGGTACCTCTCCTCCCAACACCCCTTCAATTAGGGTGATAGGCAGCCCCTCCCATCAGAACCTGAAATAAGTGGAAAAGATAGGGATGAACCTGAACCAACTTGAGCAGAAGAGAGAAGGGGCAGATGAATGTGGAAGGCAGAGCAAGGACACAAACTGTACCAAGAGGTTGCACTAAGCCTGGCCAGCGGATGGAGCACTTTGTCTGTGTTCCCCAGGGCCTGAACCAGGGAACGCACTTGGTTTTAGGCCAGTCTGGATTCTCTGACCACGAACAGCCCTACTGGAGACAAAATGCTGGTGCCCCTACTTTCCTGGCCAGGACCGGGCTGGTGGTGCCCACGAATGTTTGGGCCTACTGCATGGAGCCTTACAAGAGGGAGCAGCTTAAGGCCATTCTCTCCCAGATGAATCCCAGCCTGAGCCTGCGGCTATGCAAGGCCAATACCAAGGATGTGGGTGTGCAGGTCAGCCTGCGGGTAGACAGATCCCCGTAGTGCTCACTGGGCCCTCTAACCCTACACAGCTGTTCTCCTTGGGGCCACAGTGTCCCCAAGGTGCCATTGCGAGCTTGGGACCTCTGTTCACCAGTGATGGGCCTCAGGGGTTTGGTCTGGCTGCAGGAGGATGGGAAGGACAAGGAGAGGCAGGAACTTTTGGGGTCTGCCGAGGCCAGCCATCAGCAGCAGAAGTCACTACTAAGGCCAAGGTTGCAAGAGGACAAACAGGAGGAACTCTGGCAGCAGGACAAGTTGGGGAAGGAAGATGACTTGAGTCCTAGGGAAACACAGAGTAAGCAGGCCCAGAGAGACGCCCACCCTGCTCAGGAAACCCAACTTCCAGGTGAACTTTGTCTTCCCCTCCTCAGACTTCTGCTAGTGCCTTCCTTTCTGTCCTCTTCCATTTCTGGGGCAATTAGAGCAAAATCTTCCCTTTCTTTCTCCTTTATTTGATGAGATGAAGTTCTGAAAATGCATATTTTACATGGCCCCCATGTTTTGTAACATTTTGGTGAAGGAGGCTGCCAGCTTTAAGCATGCAGAAACCAGAAGTCTGGCAATCGTTATTAATTGGGAATGTGAGACAAAGAAGGGCTTCAAGTTGGTGAAAAAAAGTGATTGGAGTCTGTTCTGGTGGCATTGTGAAAATAAAAAAAAAATGTGAGAGAGCAGGGAGAAGAACCCTTCAGAGATGAGACACTAAATTAATGTAATAACCTTGAGAACAGCTGTAAATGAGGTAAATTTTGTATTTCCTATACAAAGCCACATGCGAAGAAGGATCTGCAAGATAATACAAATCTCTTCCCCTTTTATTTGTAGTTTTAGGAATGAAAATATGGCTATTTTCATTGCGAAGACTGTAAGACCAGATGGGAGAGTGCTTATGTATGGTGCATTTCTGGAACTAGTAAGGTGAGTAAAAGTCAGAGGGACAAAGCAGGAAAGATGTTAAGTGGAGGAAGGATGTGTTTCTTAATTGAGGGTGGCTTAATGCTGTCCCATTCATCTCTGCATCCTCCATGCCAGGCACATAATAGATGCGCAGAAATGAATTGATCCCTGGCTGGTTGTGGGTTGGGCATCGTCCTGCAGACCAAAAGGTCGCTGGTTTGATTCCCAGTCAGCACACATGCCTGGGTTGCCGGTCAGGTCCCTGGTTGGAGGTGTGCGAGAGGCAACCAGTCGATGTTTCTCTCCTCTTTTGCTTCCTTCTCCTCTCTCTAGAAATAAATAAATAAAATCTTTTTTAAAAAAAGAAAATTAGTTGAATTGAACTGGTCAGTTCACATGACCTCCCAGGCTGCTGGCCCAACTCTTGGTGTTCTGTTGGGTTTGGTAGTTCCGTTGGACAAAATGTCAGATTATTTAGATGAACTCTTGTTCTTGTGGACATTGGGACTTTCTATAATCATTTTTCAGTTGGTGTATTTTGAACAGGTTTGGGCACTAGCTCCACTGTCAGTCCACACGGTGGGGCAGCAAGAGAAAGAATTTACTGTAAAGGCTAGACTGTGAGAGATGCCATCGGGCTAAGAAGGTTCCCCCCCTACTTTGATTGATTGTCAGCATATTTACGTTGGGAAAGATTTCACAGTCTATGTTTCCAGATGTTCCTGAACACTCAGACTCTGGACTTCATAGATTTCTGCTTCAGTACAAGAACCATAAGCTGGCACTGAGCAGCTTCTCTCCTCTGGGTACATGCCCTGTATTTTGTAACAGTCTACACCTGGTCTATCTCACTAACTTCTACAAGCATTTGAGTTGGAGTTCCCTGTGCTATTCTGAAAGAGCTGGAGAGAGAAAGACATGCCAAGGCCTGAATGGAAACATGACTTTTCATACTGGCCACTCACTAGACCTGGAGGCAAATGGATTTTTTACCTAAACAAAACTGACTTTAATTCTCTGGCTGGAAGAAAAGCAGTGGGTTTAATTTAAACATTCCAAGATACTAGGATGCAAAATATAAGACATAGAACACAACCTTAAGACGTTTACACTTTAGGAGTGACACAGACAGGATGTGCATTGGTGACAATGCTGCAGCACCTGTGGCATGGACATGGTACTGAAATAATGCAGGAGGGAGTGACTGACCTTGTCAGGCAAAGGCACTGTAATGTCCAAGTAGGATTTGAAAGGATAAATAGGAGTTCAAGTAAGGTAGGGAGGAAGTGTGCACAAGGAAATACACAAAGCCTAGAAACCACATGAATTGGTGGGTAACACAAGAAAGTTCAGGTGGGGAAATACTGGGGAAAAAATAAGAAAGCAGGGACTAATGGACCAGGGCAAAAGGAAAAGGTCAAGGGTCCAGCTGCACAGTGAGTGAAATTGTAATAGCTACTTCCCATTGAAGACTTACTATGGTACTTTATATTATTGGGTAGTTGTCAGAATCATAGGAAAAAAATAAGAGCAGTACATTGATTTTACAGGTAAGGAAAATGAGCTTCAAACAGAAAGAAAAAGTGACCAAGCACTGGAGAAGCTGAAGACCTCAGGGTAGAGGTTGAGCAAAAACAAAATACAAGGTAAGGGAATAGGTTACTTAAATTAAAAACTGGGAGTCTAGGATACATGTAAACTTGGATTAAAAAACAACAAATTTCTCTTTAGGTTTATTTCAAACAACTCTGTCACAAATGCTACCAGAGTTTTAACCCTTATCAGGTGGAAGCAGTCCAGTGTCAGGTAAGCATACGGAACACTCCTTTGTGTCTATACTCTTTCCTTTCTTAACATGAAGCTTTTGTGGCATAATTGGATTTTATAGAAATAGATGTTTGTGTAGGAGTGTTAGGATTTCTCTGTGTTTGAATTTTTATAATACTGGGGGGGGGTACAAATTCTGGGGTTTTTTGGAGGAGAGAAAAA